GGCAGCACCCGCGTCCCGCACGGAGCGAGGGGGGCAGCCGAGGTGCGGGTGCGCCGGGGCAGGGCGCGGCACCACCTTTGCTCGAGCTCCGGGCGGGCATCTTGCCGTGCCCTGTCCGAGGGAGCTTCTCCTCATCGGAGAGTTGATGCCAGGGGCTTGCAATGGCAGCACAACCCCCCACACGTCTCCTGTAGCAGGAGGCTGGACCCCAAAACCTGCGCAGTCCTGTCCCATTTCGGGGCAGTGGGCAAGTCTTCATGGTCTCCCCCTTCCCTGGTCTGGGCCTACCCCTGTGGGCATCACGTCCCAAAACACTCACTACCTGCAAAACAGCCGACACGTGGTGGGCTCATCTTCAGATCGGCTTCTCTCAGCCTCACCAGTACGGCCGGTGCTCCTGAAAAGTTCATCCCATCACCATGATATCGCCCAGGTCGACCGAGCAGGAGGTCCCTTGTAAATCTGCTAATACGATATCCGTCAGTCTGCAATGTGCCCGGAGCGTTGCACACCCAAAGGGCACAATGGTAAACTCACAAAGCCCCTTCTTGGTGCAGAAGGCTGTCCTCGCTCTGTGCTCCGGGTGCACTTCCACCGGCCAGTGCCCACTGCCCAGGTCCAGGGTGGACAGCCATCGGGCTCTGGCCAGGAGTCCAGCCTAGCATCGATTCGAGGCAGGGGGTCGGCATCCTTAACAGTAACATTCAGTTTGCGGTAATCCACACAAACCTGCACATCGCCACCTTTCTTCCTCACTAGTGTCATAACCAAGTCGAGCAAGTGCCCATGTCACAATAGACCGTATGGACCGCCCTCCATCCCAAATTTGGTCATGGAAGCGCGCTGTGACATCAGCCATTCTGCGCTCTACTTAGCAGCCCGTCATTGGCTACTCTAAACGTATAAAAGTCCGTGCAGTTTCCGCCCACGTTGGAGAACTCCGGACACACCTCGGAGTAACTTGGCGGACTGATCACCCACCAACGACTCCCCGTCACCGACCTCCCCGACGTACCCCCTTCCCTGCGCGCTCGGTAATTCGTTTATGGAACGTCTCGTCTCGTCTCATCTCAGCTCTCGCTACGCGTGTAACCGAAAGTACGTTTGTAGCTGCAACTAAGCCAGTTCTTCCTACACTGCACACACCAGTAGCGTAAGTAAACAACCTTGTTGCAACCAATACGCATCCGTGCCTAATTCCACTCCACGCGTCGAAGTACCCACCTAATGTTCTGGGTTCCCGGCAAGGGCCCCAGCACTCGCCCGGCCACCACATGGCGTCGCGAACAGGATCCGGGGAAGACACGATGGAGTTGGAACTAGTCAAAAACTGCCCATGGCGCGATGGGGGGCGTCACGTGGATAACGCAGATGAACTCTGGGCACATATCGCCTACCATCGGGCGGTTGGAGGGGAAGGAGAGAACCTCCTCGGAGGCTACTTCTCGGTAAAGGGGGAAGAGGTAGTCATCAAGGCGTGGAAAGCGGGCCTGTCCCCTGAGGCGTTTGGCTGCATAATGGCCAGCGACCGGGTTCACTATAGGCCCCCAGACACAGTATCAACAGTATTCCTTGCCAGAGTCAAACCGGCAGGTGGAGCAGACCCGACTCTCGCCCAGGACTACGCCCGCTGTGTGAGATGTGTGCGGGAGGGCGGAGAACCGACACCGGTCGACCGGTTCAATCCCCCATCCCTGGCGCCTGGGTCGAGGGGCCGCGAGCTTCTTTCTGATCTCCGGGAAAAGTTGGAGTCGGAAGGCCAGATCAAAACGCGGTGGGCAGGCCCGAAGTGCGACAGGGGGAAAATGTTAAACATAATGTTCCGCACCATCACAACCCTGCTGCGGGAGAATGCAAATCTAGAGGCCCAACTGCTCACAGCCGCCCAGGCGGCTAAGGAGGCGGCAGTAAAAGAAAGCTCTGAGCCGCTGGAAAGCCCCGAGCCGCCGCCATTCCAGGATGGCGCCGGGGAGAAAGAGAAGCGCGCGAAAAACCCAGAGCGCGCAAAAAGTCCCGGGGAAGACGGGGCGGTTGCACGACCCACGGCCCTGCTCCCCGGAGTGACGTCGTCGCCGACGTCTCTGCCCCCCTACGAAGGAGGAGGGCTTCCGCGTGAAGGGCTATACCCGGCCCTTCCACCAGACGCACCGGCACCCATGGCAGCCGCGATTCACCCGATAGCGCTTGTTAAATAAGTCACCGACGCGCAGGGTGCAATCCGCACCACCACCACATACCGCACTCGCACGTGGGGAGAATTGCAGGAATTGTGCCGGGAATCAAAAATAAAACCTAGAGAACCGCTAGCCATATGGCTAAGAACGCCGGTTGCG